ACCATATAAAAGAGCACACGCCAATATCCGAATTTCTATGCTTGAGAATGACGAGCACAAAAAAAAAAACCTTTACAGAGTTTGAAATTGAGGTCCTGCTAGCGGAGGTAGTGGTAGAGGTTCGTGTGGGGACGCTTTTTATTTAATAATGTGTAATTATTCTGTGGACAAACAATGTGTGTGTGGTTACATTTTTATCTGTTGACTATTATCAAAATGACTACTTCTAGAAACAACAGAAATAATAATAATAATAATAATAATAATAGTAATAGTAATTATAAAACAATTAGGTTTCCAAAAGTAAGAATAAACTACGAATTCAAGTAAAATTTTCAGTCATCTTATAAAAAGTGAGCCATCCTACTTTTAAAACCACTTGCTATGACAACTAATAAACAGTTTAATATCACGAAATTCTTCCAAAACTTAAAAAAACATTATTGAAAGACAAATTGGACGTTTCATATCATAATTAAATAAATTATTACACGATTATGGTCTCCGGTCTGAAAAAAGCTTGCATGTGATTTGGCATTTGTTTACATTTACACAGTTTACTAATGCTGCTCAAATGTGCCATTAATGTACTGACACAAAAATATATAGAGTATTTTATACAAATATAAGTTTAAGGCTGATGTCTCTATTTATTTTCACAAAAGCAAAGCAGCAGATGTTACAAATAAAAACAGTTAACAATGTTATTGAATAGAATATATTAAAACCGTTATTGCACGACATAAGTCTAGGCTACACAGACAAAACAGTCGGAGATGCGTTTATGCATTTTTTTTCTATTTTACGCATTAGTAGTAAATCAAGACGGCAAGTTCTCTTGTAAAATAATATAATAATAAAAAACATGGAATAAACTGTACAGAAAGCGAGTAAAGAACTCTCAACATTAGGCTACTAAAAAAGGTCAGTTTAATTTAGCAAAATCTCCCGTTAATAAAAAATCTGACTACACTGCACAATTAATCTCTTACACTGCATCTTTGTTGTTTATGATGAATTCGGTGCACGTACACCGCTTTTATTATTATTGCAGCTTAGATGTTCAAATAGCTGCAGTACTCTGACTTTGCCACCAGGAAAAGTGCGTACGCCTGCTCAGACACTGACGTGGCGGTAAGTACTTTTCCACGTCAAAGACCGTTTTTATAAATATGATCGTTGCCGTGGATTTTAGCGTACGCACACTCTAAGATCAAATCTGTGCGTACGTACATTTTTAAAATGAGGCCCCAGATAACTAACAATTTTGCTGAATACAACATTACTGAATAAAAGTTTGTTCATAACTTTGAGAGAGCCTTGCCAGAATGTTAGCCAAAGTTCGAACTCTGACTGCTGTTTTGCTTTTGTCAACCCATTTGAACCTTATAAAACCTTACTTTGAAGAGCTTTTGGTGTGCTCCTGACAACGCTGTGCTTTTCAGAATTAAAATTCCTGAATTTGTTTTCAAGTAGGAAACAGAATTTGCAACAGAATTGCAATTTAAAAAAATGTAATGCTGTAAGTACAGTCTTAATAAACATCACTTTTAGTATGAATTACCAATAAATGTTACATACATACAACATATGAAGTATTTCCAGAAACATTAAATTATATGAATAATATATGTTTGAAATACAACCTGTAAGTGTGTTTAATTTATATATATATATTGAATAAATTAATACTATAGAAAGACACTTAATTTCCCAGAATTATTTAAATTGCTCAAAATGTAATATAGTCAGTAGATTCAAATTTGGATGTCAAGATTTACTTTTATAAAGTGAAATGTTATATAAAATTATACATAAACTTTATAAAATTATCTGTAAGCGAAAAAATATTTGGTGTATGATTCACAAAATTTGCTAGTAAATTTCAGAAATAATTACAAAAAAAACATCAAGTAACATTTTGAAGTAAATTCGAAATTTTGAAGCAGGACGACTTAAACAGTATTTTCTTGTAAAACGTATTCCAATCATCTTTGCTTTATTTACAACTTCTATTTTTTTTACAGTGTATGGTCAAATTTAATGCATCAAAAATGTGTTACTTGTTTTGATAGTACTGAACTCAGTTAAAAGAAATGCCTTCATCTGCTGAGAAAAATGTATTACACATATCAAGGTATAACAAACTAATAAAAATAAATAATATGCATATTTTTTGTCACAGAACTGTAAATCAAACTGCTCTGACGTGTGACTAACTTACAATCTATCAAATTCCACTTCAACATCCCTTGTGCTAATTCAAATTTACACTCATGAAATGAAAGCTGATCTTTAAATTCACAATCGGTACTGGTTCTTCAACGCAGAACTCTGTAAATTACTCACTGATCTTCTCCACGAGTTTGAGCATGAGACCCCCGATGTGAAGATCCCCCTTGACCCGCAATTTAAACTTCATGCCTTCATCTCCCTCACGCTGGTCCACCTGGATGCTGAGCTCCCAGGAGTTGTGTCCGTACTCAGCAGCAGTGGCCATGACTCTGCCTGAAATCAAACCACAGACGAACACAAACAGTTACTTTAGTTGCATAAATGTAGTTACTATGATAATATTGTGTCCTAAGAACTAGTCTGACCAACTAAAGCGTTTATTCAAGGTGTAATACATCTTCAAATTAGACCAATATACGTTTTATATAACTAGCTTGAAAAAGTTATGTCCAATCTTAAAGAAAAAAAATTAGATGACTCACTTGTAAGACTAGTTTATGCATTTTATGCAACAGGCCCAGGCTGCACTTGCACAGGACTTGACAACACTGTCTGGGAGAATGTAAGTTTTGTGTGCGGGTACGAAATTCCGCAAAAAAAGCAGATCGCCTTACGGCAGAAACAAATGCATGTGTACAACTGTACACTGTAATTATGACAGCGAATTCAAAGTTGCAAAAATAGTGTTCTGCTATCTTTTAAAATTCAAAATGAGCACTTTGTTGAATGGCTTCTAGTACACTCTTAAAAAAATGCTGGGTTAAATACAACCCACTGCTGGGTAAAATAGGGACAAACCCAGCAATTGGGATGTTTTGACCCAGCGGTTGGGTTACTACCCAGAAGGTTGGGTTAAACATTTAACCCAACCGCTGGGTCAAAACAACCCAATTGCTGGGTTTGTCCCTATTTTACCCAGCACTGGGTTGTATTTAACCCAGCATTTTTTAGAGTGTACGATTTGGAATATGAGCACACATGACATACAGACGGCTTTGATTGTGCTTTTTTGGAGCCTGTTGATGACAGAAGTTTATTTTTTGTATAAACTATTCCTTTAATGTCTCTAATGGCAACATCTAAAAGCAGAGGGAGTGATAGACAGAGAACTAAAGGTACAGGGTGGAGGAGGGATGTGATTACAGAACAAGAGAGACTTCAGCTTAAAATTCCTGACATGCAGAGACAAGACCAGAGGCAGAAAGAGCAGAAACAGAACGACTCCCACAGACCCGTCATCCTGCTGTCTGTGCTGGGTTGTACATCAATAAACAACAAAAAGTCCAGGTTTTACACACAAAAACACAGTCGAGCTCTGCGGTGTAAACGACACAGTCTGAGACTCTAAGGCTCTTTTTGTGACTTAAGATGGGAAAGTATGAGTGTTTGTTATATGTTGGATTTGAGTCCTCAATTTTATTATTTAAAAATCAGGTCTGTCCACGTTCACTAAGAAGTATGGGGGAGGGCGAGATGTTTGACTAGGTTAGAGATAACACACATGCTCTGAACCACCAAGGCAAACTGAGTAGGTTAACATGCCCGCAGGCGTAGAAAAAAGAATTTACACCTCCCTAGTGTAACAGCCAGATACTTGAATTCAGATATAAACAAGAAGGACTTTCTTAAGATAAATGCATCAGCTCATGATTGCATTTGAAGATCATATGCAACAATTAAATGAGGACTAGAATTGAGTTTTTTTTCTTATATGAACTGTGCACTAAACTTTAGAAGGCCACAAGAAGGGAGGGGGAGGGGATCAAAACTAGAAAATGCTGTAACATCTGTAACATGAAGAACTTTTTAATTAGATAAAACCATATATAAAAGAGAATACTTTTGCAAACATGCAAAAAAAAAAAAGTATTCTTCAATATGTCTACCACAGTGATAGAAATGATACAACAACAAACCTTATTTACCTCAGAAAAGACCTAATTGTCTTAATTTTGCCAATAGAAAGAGTACAGAATATATTGAAATGTATATAATGCTGTTTTTCATGGTATGAAACATTTCTTTAATAGGGTATCTTATATCAAACTTTAGCAACTTCGAAACTTTTTGTAGGCTAATCCAATTTTTTTTTAAATAGCGTGGGGCAAACGAACATTATAATAGTCTAATTTGAGTGAAACTATAGGCTAAAGATAAATTATTCCACTCACCTGAATGCGTTCCCGAGGATTTTCCCTTTGGAAAGTGAAACAGATCTCTTGTCCAGGTGCGCGCGCTGAGGAAACCCCGCCCAGTACCTATGGAGGCCGAAACCTGCAAAAACAATAAATAAATAAATACACAAATAAATAAATAAATGTCTGTATAAATACACAAATTCTGTGAGATGACTGGTATGAAGTGGTTTAATCGAGGAACAGACCGTTTTTTCCCATTAGTTATCAGATCAGAAAATACAGGCGACAAAAGTACGTTTATTAAGCAAATAACGGTTCAGTATTGCAATTAAGAGCTATGTAAGCATTAATATTTTACATTGGCCACTTCAAATCTTTTATGATTTAGCTCTCTCATGATTATAACTACAAAACTAACCCTGTGAAAAAGTGTAAGATAATAATCAGTCCCCTTGACTGATGAAGTTAATACGCATGCGCAGGCAAACGCTCAAGCGCGTCACACACGACACACACACTACTCTTGCATAATTGACACCCTCTCATTAGCATAATTGACACCCTCTCATTAGCATAATTGACACCCTCTCATTAGCCAAAAATTTGGAACTACATTCAGAAATAAATGAGTGATCAAAGGAAAATAGTTAGGATGAGTTTAGCATTTCCTTAAACATTTTCCATTTGCCCACCAATTTATATTATTTATTTGCCTACTTTCATCACATATATAATTATTTATTTATGTACAAGAATACGTGTATTTATGCACACATTTATTTATTTATTTGTGTATTTATTTATTTATTGTTTTTGCAGGTTTCGTCCTCCATAAGTACCATCCGTAACTTCGGTGTGTAACCTACAGGAAGGGCACGTAACGGAAGTGACTAAACGAGCCCGACGCACATACCTGAACACTAACTAGATTGTAATTGTTGCTCAAGCTATAATGTCCACATAATGACTAACTTGAGCGTTGTGTTGTGAATGTGATTTTACACCAGTTCTAGCCAACTGTAAAGATTTAAACCGGATTATACAGCTGTAAATAAACATTATGGTTGTGATTAGTGGCTATACACAAACTACAAAATTAAAATATGCAATTTAGCACAAGCCACATGGTATTTAAATCAAATAAATCCATATTATGAATCGTCGAGATGATAATAGACAATCTGTCTTAGATATAACAGTGATGATAAAGATGTTTGATGTTCCTGTTCAAGATGATGAACAATAAACTGAATTGAAATGAATAAATTTCAATTATTTGAACAAACAGATTTTATTTCCTAATCTTTACAAACACTTTTGCTTTTCTATTAGAAGTTGTGATGTTGCGTTAGTTCATCTGTCCAGCAGAGGTCAGGCTTGGTATACTGGAAATAATAAAACCTTAAGATTACAAGAAAAGCTTAATTTAACCACTAAGAACCCTAAGAACTCTTATGCTTTGTTTGTTTGTTTGTTGTCGTCGTATGCATTCTTTGATGTACCTTGGAGTAGCATACAAATACCACGGTATGTGAATAGGATAACAGCATTTGTTTGAAATATAATTCTTTTGTAACATCATATATTTCTTTAATGTCACTTTTGATCAATTTAATTCATCCTTGCTGAATAAAAGTATTTTTTTCCCTTTCTGTATATATATATATATAAACATGATCAAAGATAAAAAGAAGAAAAAAAGTGATGCGGTTTTGAGCAACATGAGGCTGAGATGATGATGACAGAATTATTCCTAAACAAACTATTCTTCTAGACAGTCACTTAGCATGGTTTATATGCTTTTGAAGGTTTTGAATACAACTTACGAAAAAAACAAGCTGATTTATATAAGAGGAAAAAACTAGCATTTAACTGCAAAATAAGATTTGGCGGATACAACTGTGATGGCATACGCACTAACCAGTGGTAATATTTAGATATATTTCTATTATAAAAACGTTCCCTCCTGCATAGCTGCATGCTAGTCTCTGAGTGCCTGTATGTGTGACAGTCTAATTTAGGAAACGGCTACCCACGCTGGATCCAGTGCTGTACGGGGCTGAAACGTTCAACAGTAAAACAATTCTTCACTGCCTATCTGCAGACCTCTGCCATGTTTCTGAAACCTTACGAAATGAAAGCCAACAGGGGGTAGTGTGCAATCATTCTCCTCCATCTGGCCTGTCCACTTAAATTAGCTGGGCCTTGCATCCAACGGCATCTGTTTCCAATATGGTGCAAGGACGGAAGGGTGGGTGCTTGGCTTTGCAGCGGAAAATACAGCCTACTGTACTTTTAAATAGCCCATGGGAGAAGCGGGACTGATGTGGTCCGTATATCGCCTTATCCCCAGATTCCCTGTTGCTGGACTGCCACTTCTTCAGCTTTGAAAGATGTCAAATGTATAATTAGGGAGGAATTTGTGTAATGCCGTCAGTGAACACGTAGCACACGTTTCCCATGTCCCATACATACTTTGCTTTGAATGCTTGCGAATAAGACTTTAAACATTACTGCTTGCATTGATTGCAAGTGCTTCTGCTCCCCTTAATTAAGACTTTTAATTCAAATCTTTTTAAAATTGAATTAAAATGGCGTTTTTGGCGCCAACTACATGCTTGTCCACCAAGCTGTTGGTGCAGCATTGTGTACGTTCAAAGCCTTATTATAGCAGTCACTCATCACTTTATGCCTTTGCTCGAACATAAATATTCCTGTTTTTACACATGTGCACATTCTTATGGTGCTAAATCATAAATCCATAGCTTTTTTTCCTTTTTAACTTGGAGGAAAGGCAGTAAAGACTGCTAAAACCAGCAGGTTCAATCCCTCATCCAGTGATCCTCATCCAGTGATGCTCAGACATTTCCTGGCTCAAACCACAGCTTTAGCGGAGCTCTGCGGCAAACTTTTCTGACATTACACAGAGACAAACAGTACAAGAGCTACTTGCAAGATTCTTTCTGGGCACCAAACTTTTCTAATAAGACAATGTGAAATGTGGTTCAGTTTTATGTGAATTCTGTCATTTACTCACCCTCATGCCTTTCCAAACCCGATAATTCTGTGGAGCACAAAAGTAGATAATTTGGTCAATCACAATGCAATATCAATGAATGAGGACTAAATCTTTCATGCTTTAGCTTTGGGACTTAAAGAAGTGGTTCACCCAAAAATGAAAATTTGCTGAAAATTTCCTCACCCTCAGGCCATCCAAGACATGGATGAGTTTGTTTCTTTATTGGATCAGATTAGGAGAAATTTTGCATTACATCACTTGCTCACCAATGGATCCTCTGCTGTGAATGGGTGCCGTCAGAATGAGAGTCCAAACAGCTGATAAAAACATCACAATAATCCATAAGTAATCCATATGATTGCATTTTAACTTTAAACCTTTGCTTCTGGCCAAAATATGTGTCCATAATCCATAATAATGCTTCCTTCAGTGAAAAAGTCCATCTTCTGTTGTCACATCAAAATCCACTGACATATTTGTTCAGAACTGTTTTGGACTGGTTTCACTTGTTTCTCTCCTGGTTCAAACAGGATGAAAACAAGATTTTTCACTGGAGAAAGCAATATTATGGACAGAGGACTCTCATTTTGATCAGAAGGTTTGAAGTCTAAAACGTCTTGATGGATTTCTTTCTTACAAACATGCAGCTTTTCACTTCACAAGATGTTAAATGATGGACTGGAGTAGTGTGGATTACTTGTAGATTGTGATGTTTTTATCAGCTGTTTGAACTCTTATTCTGACAGCACCCATTCACTGCAGAGCATCCGTTGGTGAGCAAGTGATGAAACGCAAAAGTTCTCTAAAGCATGCGCCGATGAAGAAACAAACTCATCTACATCTTGAATGGCCAGAGGGTTAGTAAATTGTCAGCAAATTTTCATTTTGGGGTGAACTATTCCTTTAACAGCATCACAAAAAATGGTCCATTCAGCTTGCATGCATTCCTGAAGCTCAAATAGTAGAGCATTGTGCCAGCAATGCCAAGGTCATGGGTTCAATATGCATGAACTGATACAACATATACTTTGAATGCTATATAAGTGGCTTAAGACATAAACATCTGCCAAACGCATGAATGTAAATATGGCAAATATTCTCAAGTACAGACTAAATTTAAAATCACTGTTCACTAATAATCTTTCCCTCCATTGATTTTTAACTTGAGAACCATAGATCATTAGTTCAGTGAACTTAACTGGAGAACCAGATAATTCATGAATGAATCATTCAATCAACTGATTCATTAAAAACATTGGACTCAAAATCTAGATTTATTCATGATAACACAAAGTCATAAAAACTACTTTTAGCACAATTTTATGGTGCTTTTATATCCCTTTTAAAGTCTGCAAGCTTCATTAATTTAATTAAAAAAAGCAACTTTAACTTTAACAGTACATTCCACTCAAGAGAGAAAGGGTTTGGAATGACAAACACAAACAAACAATCCAAAAATGACAAAATGCTAATTTTTAGCCAGTAGTAGCCCAGTAAATAAGCCACTGCATTTGTTTAAACATCTTGACAAATTAGTTAATGTTCAGATGGTTTGTAATTGTTTGGTGTAGTAGTTCACATATATCTCAGCGGCAAGTTAGTGCTAAACAAAAGATTGCTGTGAAAAATGTGTTATTGTACATGTCTCAAAGGACGCCACACACAGAGTGCCACAATGAGTCGTGATTTTAGACGCAGGGCTGAAATTGTAAAGCGGGGTGTTGTGTGAAACCATCTGGAAGAGATCTGGCATTTTTCAAAATCCATTTTTGTTTATCCAGAGGCAAAGACACACATACTCGAAGCGGTCATACAGTTTCCAATGCTGAATGAATGAATTCCATTTTTCCATTCACACTCAGGAAGGAGATGCACTGCAAAATCTGATAAGGCTGATGACAAATCTGAAGAATTGCTGACAAGCTCCTGACATTTTTTGGCATGGCTTCCCAGAGCCCTCCACGCATGCTGAAATGAAGATCACTTTGGAGGGCTCCTCTGAGCACAGACATACTCAAGAAATGTGGTGTGTATGTATGTATAATTAGAATTCTTTATATTTTTTAAATACATAAAACAATCATTTTTTTATTTTTAATAAAAAATAAAAATCTAATTATTTGATTATAAGAATAGCTGTTAGATACATCCTGCGCCAAACCATTTTTGTTCACACTGCTTAGTACATATACTTAATTTGTTAGAAGACGTTATACAAACGTGCTGTCACTTCCTTGCCTTAGCAAACGCCACTATTGCTACTATGTTTATATTTGGGGTAAAATTTTCAGTTGCAGTTTTGAAGTTGCATAGCTTCCTGTCAATTTTTGCTTGATGTTTTGACTTTTTTCTAAATATTTATTATGATGAACAGCAGACAATAATAAGGAATGCTAAATGACTTTAAAAAATACATACAAAAGGTTAATAAAAAAACTACAAGAGCCAATCAAAATGTCATGATAAAATGGATTAAAAACAAAAAACAGAACAAATCATTTAAAAAGCTAATACTGAAATGAAGAATCATATAAAGGGGGGCCTGACAGACAAAAATGTAAAAAAAAAAAACAGCAGTAAACTGTTTAAGTTAGCTGCAATGCTTGAGGCAAGAAGTGACCTGAAATAAGATTTATGGATTGTAATTTACTCTTATATGGTAAATTTGTTTCCAAGTTAGGAATAAAAGTAAATATTTGAATGTCTCGCAGTGTTTTGACTTTTTTCTAAATATTTATTATGATGAACAGCAGACAATAATAAGGAATGCTAAATGACTTTAAAAAATACATACAAAAGGTTAATAAAAAAACTACAAGAGCCAATCAAAATGTCATGATAAAATGGATTAAAAACAAAAAACAGAACAAATCATTTAAAAAGCTAATACTGAAATGAAGAATCATATAAAGGGGGGCCTGACAGACAAAAATGTAAAAAAAAAAACAGCAGTAAACTGTTTAAGTTAGCTGCAATGCTTGAGGCAAGAAGTGACCTGAAATAAGATTTATGGATTGTAATTTACTCTTATATGGTAAATTTGTTTCCAAGTTAGGAATAAAAGTAAATATTTGAATGTCTCGCACACTTTATCGAGTATCAGTTGAATTTCTGCCATGCCCTGCAAGTTTAAACATTTCTAGTGCTTTTGGAATTGGTTCCTTCCTGTTCCTATAACCATGGTTATAGCCAGCTAATCCACAGACATTTGTTACAGTTGCGAGTTTTGAACTGCAGGTTGCGGAGGGCAGATTTCTCACACATGGAGAAGGAATTCAGACCACTGAAAAATACACTGCTTTGAGATTTAATACTCAGATATATATATTCAAGTGTTCTCCACATGCTTCGGGCCGCCCTATAGCAAGACTTCCCGCATTTTTCAGTCGGATGGCATGCCAAACTCATCTGTGGTCATCTTCAAAAGAGCCAAACGCCTCCTTTGTGTTTAAGACATACTCAAGAAATGTGGTGTGTATGTATGTATAATTAGAATTCTTTATATTTTTT